AATTTTCTATTCTCATTTGATGATTACAATATACGAGTACAAAAAAAAAAAACAAAAAATATCAAATTTTGATTTATTATGCGTGTATCTACGTACTACCTATACACTATCTATAATATATAATACGTATGGAACAGATCGATGACTTTAACGGTTCTAAATCTAAAAATTATTTTCGATGTGGAAGAAAAATGGGTCATTAGCTAAATATAAGTTGATTACGATATATATATACAAGAATAATAATTTTCAATGCATAAGAAAAAAATAATGTAAGTTTTTTGTACACGATTTTTAAGTCTAGATGAACTGATATTTTTCAAATGCTTATCACGTATATGAAATTGGTAGTTAAGACACTGATTTTCTTCAAATATAAGTATATTGATCCAGGTCAATTAAACATTATATACATAACAATTTTATGTCTATTAATTATTAGATGATCCAGATAGTATCGGACAACAGCGACATCGCGACTTGGTATTTTTTTTTATCTTTCGCTGCTCTCCGTCAGTAACTTTATGCGACCAAGTGATAATATTATTATACCATAGTATGAAGAAACTATGATATTGTAGTGGACGCTGCGTGGATTTTTAACTTCAGAATTCGTGCGCTACACGAAGCATAATTAAAAAGGCAGAGATGGAGATCGTGAGTGGAAAAACCGCCAGCATGAGGACGACTTAGAATAATCTTCAAAGACTATATAGGTATAGGTGCGTATGGACGGTATTATATATTATGTACGTATCCGAGATGTGTGCCCGGTGTCAATGACTGATAATACACACACACACATGCACGCATGCACACACTACACTAATACACAGTACCTTTGAAATGTTAAAAGAAATAGAATAAGAACAAATTCTCTGGACCCGAAAAGCCGTTTTAAAGAAACCGACGGGAGATTTGTATTATATGTTTTTTGTTTTGCATGTATAACATGTATTGTATAACATAAGGGAGTACTCTACATAACTCTTTTCATTGAATCCGATTTCATTGTTTCGTAAGAGAAAAAAAAATGTTTATTGTCGCCATTAAACGCAACAAGTAATTACTTTTCGTGCCTTGGGCCGTTTTTCATCGAACAAAAAAAAAAAAAAAAAAATGAGTAGTATCTACATGTGAGAGTACCTATAGGTACAGCTTACTCAGAGGATAAAAAAAAATATTTATATTAAACACGTTATACTGTACCTATACTATACGCTATACAGTTCGATTCCACTGTTAAACATTTCAAGGGCTACTCTGAAATACTTCAAGAGAATAATAAATAAAAGAAACGTTGCATTAATTTAATAAATAAAAGTAATTCAGCCATTTATACATAGATTAGGTCTGGACACTTACGGCATAGCATAACGTATACATTTAAAGCCCAGGTCATTGTAGACATCAATGTCAAAATATTTAATTGTTAACGATGAAATAGAATACTGAAATGTCAATTTAATTGTTGTGTTTTGGTATTCTTTGGAATTTAAGCCAGTTGTATATTATGAAATCAATTATTTTTAGATAAACTAATAGGTAACAACGAATGATGACTAATATATTTATAATTTATACATTTACACAATATTTTCGCGGTGCTGTGAATTAAATCATACTATTTTAATATTCAAGAAAAATAAACTTTTCATTATTCCATCAATAATTTTATTTTTGGAATATTTTGTAAATAATTAAGTGTATTGGTTATACAAAATATATCATAAAAATGTATTTAATCAGAAAAAAATATTTACATTTATTTATATTATTATAAAAACTAGATTATAGATTTAATTATTTAAACATTTTTAATGCACGTGTCTGTACTATAAATATATGAAAATAATTTAATCATAATAGTATTTTTAATACCTAGTTGTTAAAAATTAAATTATTATTCTGTAAATTAAATTCTCAATTCTATTATTCAATAAGCTAATGCCAAAATACTATTAAAAATCTCAGTAAAATTGTTTATTTTTATTTAATGATTTTTCTGTTTGATGTCTTTTCAGAGAGCTACAACTCGGTATGGTTAAATACTAGTATAATCTGTTTAGTGATGTGAACGTATAAAGATCTCAGATATATTAAAATCTTATTAAAACAAATGTCGTCATACTATGGATAATTAAATCGCAATAAGCATTAACCTTTCACAGTTAATGCATTATATATACCTTTCTATAATAAATTAATATAAGCGTCTCAACAATAAACAATAAATGTTTGTAAAAGATAAAATAAAACTCATATAGAATAGTACAAATATAATAAACAATATACCGAAGTAAAATAAAAAACGTTAGTAAATTGCAAACTTATAATGATAATTTTGTTCTCAGAAATATGTACACTTATTAACTAACAAATACCTACAAAATGAATGTCATTATACGAAATTGGAATTTAAATTAGTGTTGTAGTAAATTACTCCATGTTTATTATTATTAAATTTATTATTAGGTATAAACGAATTGGATTATTTTTTCATGTTAATAACATTTTCAATTATTTAGTTCTGTTTTGTATCACAGTTTTGAATTTATATTAATGTAATATATATAAATATTTATTTATTTTTAATCACTTAGAATCATTTAATAAATAAAATGTTTTATTCTAAAAATTATTTCACATTTTCTATCATTACTTCAAAAAAAAAATTAATCTGATGTACTAAAAAAATATTAATTATTTTATAAATCGCAGTAGTTTAAGTATTGAACAACAAGCAAGTTTTAGATAACTATAAAAAGAAATTGAAATCTTCTATAAATTTTGAATACATACCTAAAACATATTGGGACACTCAATACCTAAAATCTACAAAAGACAGTCCAATGTCCATACTAAGAAATTGTCACTTTCTTAAAACCTATTGAAATTATTATTATTACTATGTGTTATAACTACACGAATTTGATTTTTTTTAAATATTGTATTGTGTTGTTAATCCCAGTATCCGAAAATAACATTGTAAAATCTCATGAAAAATAATAATTTACAATAAACAGTGTTTAAGGGTTATTGGTTCATTATGGTCTCCTTTTGTTGGACAGGTAAAAACAAGGACAAGGATATAAAATCTGAGAACAAAAAAATAACAACATAATGTCTTCAGAGCATTTATCGATTCGTGAGTTCATTTATCCCCCGACCTACAGCGAGAACAATGTCCAGACCGTATTTTTCTCCCCTCACCACCCCTCTGGCGATCGGATTTATATTATCTATTCGTAAAATCTCTTAGTGGACCTGCTTCTTCTCGGTGCCATCATGAATGTCTCTTGATTTATGGGACGACCTCCGGCCAATGCAAGTATTGTCAGGAACATTATACACATACCTTTTGCACATATGAACACACTCCTACATATTTATACACACTGGTAGTTGTCAAGTTAAAAAAAATTACTCAATATTAACTATACTGAACTGAATTCACAATTATTATTACCTAATAACTAAATACATAATACTTATTATTTATTATTATTAACTTAAATGTATTACCATACCTAAAAATGGTCATAATTTCTTTTTTGAGTACTTATACCTAATACTTCATCTACATTTCTACGCGTTCTATAATATGTATTCTACTCAGTTTGACTTTTCCTATGTTTTAAAACATCGGTAATATTTCTATTATGTATTATAAAATATCCGATATAACAATATATTTTGACCTTCATTCGTTAGAATGTATAGATATTTGGGCCGTTTTACCAAATTATGATAGTTTAAGTTACCATAAGAAATTTAGCTAGAAAACGCTCAAGGGACTAGAAAATCAATTCGGCGCACAATTCAATTTTAATACTTATTCAATACAATACATGTAAATAATCCGTTCATACATAATGTAACCGCGGAAGAGACTTAAACGCAGTGACAATACATGGAAGAGGTTGACTACTGGTACTAAAGAATATACTATATTTATACTTTTAATGAAAAAAAAGTCATAAATATACAATTTTACCAATTAAAGAACACATAAGAGAATTAATATATCGCGTTATTATTACCAATTAACTTAGAATCAACAGATAACCAATAAAATAACAAAATAAAAATACCAAACACTGAAAATTATAAGTAAAAAAAAAAAAAATTTAACTCCTTAATCAACTTTTGGGGAGAATAAAACATAACAAGGTACTTTTTACTTTAATAAATTATTAAAATATTAGTAAAATACCAGTTGGAATATAATTTTTCTAAATACTTGGCTTTATAATAAAAATACAATTATTATACAATCTAATGCTAAACATATCATAATAATATTTTGTTTGAAGATAATTTAATTTTATAGAATTATTAAAATATAATTCACTAAAAATTTAAATAGAAAAAATAACTTAAACTATTTTAGTTAAAAATATAAGTTTTTTTTTTTAATTACTTCTTTTATTACTAAATCATGTAAATATGCGTCAACTACATTTTGTTATAAAAGACTTTATACCTCTAATAATTTTAACTCTCAAGAATAATAAATAAATATAAAATATAAAAAAAAATGGTCCAATATCAAAATATAAAAATCTTTTTTAAATTTTTGTTCGTGAAAATAAAAAAATATTTAAGAAGAGTCACTATCAGCTAATCGCCACCTAACACTAGATTGTGCTCGGTCATGCTCTAATTTTGCCAGTAAAACGCATACAAAAGTAATTTTCAAAAACAAAATAAAATAAATATCAAGTCCTAACGAATAAAATAATTATTAACCAATAAAACCATCAAATTCTTTACCAAAAATCTAATAATAATAGAACATTTCCAACGTGGTCATTTTTTATATCGAATTAATTTAATACAATTGTTAATTATAATTAGTAACTAACATTAGAATGACACAATTTTACTAAATCTACTTTGAAATCAAACATCCCGGTATATGTATATTGATGGTTTAGCATTAATTATTGATTTCATTAAAGTGTTATAAAAATAATAATACGTTTTATGAAACTTACGGTTACACGTATGATGAACTGTCCGAAGTAGATATTACTACGTATTATTATGTTTCGTCAATCGACAACTTCACCTCTTGTCCTGCGTTTTCTTATTCATATATTAAAAATAAAAGTTAAATAAAAAACTCATAAATCAGTGACACAAAAAATTACGACTATACAAAAATAAAAATAAAATAATTGAACACGATTCGGCGAAGCACGTGCAATTGGTGTACGCGAGAATAAGTGGTGGTGGTTGGCACGCGGCGCGTGTGTGAGTGGGCCGACGCGCAAGAATATACTGAGCCGACTGCTCGCGCGCTGTGCTCGTTTTGTATCTTTAGTTGTGGCTTACTACGGTTTCCCTGATGACTCCTGTGATTCGAGAGGAATACTCGTTTTCATTGGACGGTCGTATCGATAAAAAACGTGGTTGTAGATGTTATATACACATAGATATATAAATATTTAAAAATATTTTTTTTATTTCTGTACTTAAATCACACACTTTTGATGGTTTTCCTAGAATGTATAATCTTATTTTTGTACTTACGAGTTACAACGATACCGCTTGTTATAACTAAATATTATAATACTTAGGTATTTCTCATATTTTTGTTATTAATAATGTTTAAGATTATATTTTTTTCGTTTTTTTTATATCATATTATACAATTCAACTAGTTTTGAATAATTCAAATCATAAAGTATGTTCGTGTATGTAGTTGAATTAAAATTCTATTTTAACTTGCGCTAGATAGATGATATATAAAATTAATGATTTTATAAAATGTATATATAACACTCAAATAATACAAAATATTTCTTTTTTATTTTAATTAGTTTTAAACAATCTATAATACATTATTTTTTATACAAAAATCATAATTTTTAACTGTAAAATATGTTTAAATACTATTTTGATAAAAAGTAAAATGAATTATATTTATCTACTTAATTTTATAATATTTTTAGCTATTATTGTTTAATTATTTTTTGATTATGTAAACAATTTTATCCGTAAAAATTAAAAACCCTAATATTTAATTAATTTTTTTTTCTTCGAACACAGTCTTGTATACAATAACTACCGTCTACCTGCCTATTATATTACGTGTATTTCAAAATTATTTTTTCACCTTTATTTCAAAAACATTATGCGCATCATGATTTGATATCTTTCGTACCCATATTTTTCATAACAATAACTTCAAAATCAGATAATAACGACCTATAGAAATTTAATCCATTCTTTTATCAATATTCTTTATGATGTGTATTTACCCAAATATACGTGTCTCGGAATTGAAATGAAATAATGTCCTGACCAAAATAAAATATATGTATACCTAACTGTTAACAATAAAATATTATTTGAAAAGGGACCAATATGATAAATAAACAATATTTTTAAATTCAAAATCATGTACCAATTTTAAAAATTTTGTTAATCTAACACAACGTAGTACATACAATAAGACTAATATAAATACTAAAATCGTAGAAACGTATTAGCTGTCTTGTTACACCAAATACACCAAACCCAAATTGAATTCTCGACATTTTCAATTAAATTCTGCCAAATATAAAAATTTTGGATTCAAACACAAACATTTTAATAAATTAAAATCAAAAAATCTTTGTACCTACGAAAATATCAACAAAAAGACTAGCTAACCACTATAGGACTAAACCTTAATCAAATAAATTCACTAGGCATAAATAATAAAAGTGTTACCACATTTAGTAATTATTTAAGAAAAATAAACATTTACCGTTATTGATTTCATCATTATAATATCTATAAAAAAAATGAATTATTTAAATTTATAAGAAGTATATATATATATATATATATTAGAATATAAGACCATATAATGCATTGACTAAAAACAAATCAAATAAAAAGAACTAATTTTATTATTTAAGCTAAGCAATAAATAAAAAGTTTGCATTTTTACTATTTTGTATAATAACATAATGATATTTATTCCCATAGCTATTTCTTATACCAAGCGTCTCGTGTTTTTTAAATGTTCAATGCATTTGTATACAAAGTTTGATTTTAATTCATAATATTTAACTAAATAAATAATTAATTTTTATGATATTCCCATATTTTATTAGTTACGTTATTTTTCAGTTATTTATTATATTTAAATAAAAAATGTATCACATTATTTATTGTAATACATTTAAAACAATTAAGATTTCATTTTATTATTTTTTAAAGAAATCTATAAAATATCTAATACTAATATAAAACAATTAAGAATAATTAAAAATTTTAAATAATTATAATTTGTTTATTCTTATAGGATATAATTATAATTTTGAAGATCATAAGAGTATACAGAATTAAAGAAAATCATAATGCCTTAGATGCAATATCATTATGCTATTTACAGTTATAAAATATGTAAAATACAACTTTTATATTTTAGCTATTCGCCTATGCATGAATGTCTATGTGTTAATCTATAGAGAACGCCGTGTAAGATAATTTTTTCATAAATTTGTAATAATTCTATCAATACTAATTTATAAAATTATTTAATAATTTATCAACTAAAAAGTAACATTGAGGCTACCTGAGATCCCAAATTCTGATCTCTAGGTAATTTAAACTTTTTATAATGGTTATTAAAATTTGAATTAATCCGAAAAGTCAATCATGCGTGATAAATACCGTGTCAATAAATTAATCACCAAAACAATTTGAATTTAATTCCTGAATAATAAAACAAAATAATTTTAATCAAAAATTTATCATCAAATTTTTCTCAAATCTTCTTACCATAATAAAAAAAAAAAAAAAACATAAAATGTTAAATTTACTGTTGTTCGTATAACATGTGCATTATTCAAACTGCGTGTCTACAAAGTTTAATGTTAACATATTATTATATTATATTTATATAGTACCTATATTGTAAAATTATGATAAATATTACGAATAAGTAAATTATAATGTTTACTGAAGTACTAACTACTATGATATTTTCAACATAATGAAAATAAATTAACATTTTCTTATTTATTTACCTATAATCTAATTCTTTGAAACATTATTATTAGAACTCGACTGATGAACTTTATAAATAAGAGATCTTAACTTTTATATTTTACATAATTTCAATACTATATGATAGTACAATGAAAGTTCATTTTATTATATTATAATTTATAGTAAAAAAAGATTATTATTCCAACTAGCAACTAATAATATATATATATATATATATATATTGTGAATGTTATTATAACTTCTAATACCTCTAATAAATATTTAAGAACAATAATTAAAAATGTATCGTCTTGTACAAACCATATACTTAATTTCAATATGAATATTTTTTTTTTATTTTTCTCAACAAACTTTTAATTATTTTATACTTATACAACTTTTATTGATATTGAACATGAAATAATAAACTATCGTACATTTTACATCATTATCACACCTTAAATATATTATCTTATAGTTAGTATTTATTTGAAGTTGATTACTTTATAATAAGTGAAAACTATATAAACTAATACTATATCATATTTGTATAAATAAAAAGTCAAACATTATTAATAAAATTTGATTGGTAGACATTACGTTTGATAAGTGATAAACACTTCACTTGGAAGTATACTTAAAAACGGGTAATATTATTAATATTAAATTGAATAATAATACATCAAGGAAATTCCACTGAACATAAAGTATATTAATTGTATCGTTTTATTATGAACTACTTGAGAAATAATTATCTAAATTTGTTTATTAAACTAAAATTTAATAGTAAATAAATCGTAATGATAAATTAATTAAACAATATGTAAAAAAAAAAAAAAAAATGAATAGGTAAGTTGTTTTTATCAAATTTACCAAATTTATCAAACTACTTTATTCTAACGTTATAGCTGGGCACATTAATATTTTTTTACTTTATTTTAAAATACTTTATTACGTATTGTAAATATTTGTATTTTTAAATATATATAATATGTTAAAAAATTATTTGTATTGCGTTATGACTTAAATAATTATCTGCTTAGCGAAATATATATAAATTTAAGCTAGGTAAGTAGGTATAAAAAAAAATACGTTTAAATATTTTATTGTCTTGATAAATAATTATATTGCATTCAACATTCTCAATCGTTTCGAAATTCTAGTATAGAAATATATATTTAGAATAATAATAATATATCTCATTCGTTTCATTTAATAACTATTCGAATTTTTTTCACACGTTCTCGCGTAAAAAATTTCACTTATGTTCATTAAATTATAACAAATATAGAGTTTCCCTAGGTTAGGTGATTATAATATAATACATATTATGGGCCGTCATCAATAAGACTACGATTTATGGGATAGGTTTTAAACCCACATTTACAGTTAGCCCATTGTTTATTTATATACCTACGTAAACGCTCATAAGAATACCGATAATCGTGCAGCTAACGGTAGGTAGATAATATATGTTTTTTCTAGGGCGGGAGAATATGTCTCACCCCGATTAAATAGGAAGGTATAAGTTATTTTTATTTTTTCTATACTTAACAAAAAACTCATTCATATAATCACCTCAATGGTTTAAATATTTATTAAACAGTATTAATATATAACATATTAAAAGAAGTGTAATAATTTTAGGAGGTTTAAAAAAGGTAACGGGAAAACAAAAATGTGGCTGTATATTACATGACATATTTAAAATACATACCTAATTATTTAATCTTAACATATTTTTTGAGGATTATATAATCGTTGTGTAACAATAATCGAATAAATACTAGCATTCGTATATTTTTATAGTAGATATACAATATATATAAGTATACGTACATTCCATTCAACATGATAACAAACTGTAGAATTATTCAAAAAATGTTTTCGTCTTTTGTCGATGATTTGTGACGTAGGTACCACATTTATGTGTGTACTACTTGTGGTATTTTTTTTTTTTTCATTTTATATTGTGTACATTTGAATTAACGTTGAAATAAAAATACGAGTAATAATTAAAAAGTATATAATTAAAGAACAAAAAAACAATATTTATGCGACTTCGCTATATTAATAATAATACCTAAATATAATATTATGGTTAAATTTAAACATTTTATTATATTATTGTTTTAAAGTATAAACAAAAATTTTATGTAAAAATTGATTTTCAGAAAATAATAAATAAAATTATATTTTTTTATCATAATATACGTAAAAAATTTGTTTTAGATAATTGTTTTATTTTTTTTAAATTTGTAAATTTTGGCATTTGTAAATTGCAATCATGTATTATCGATTTTGTTAA